AAGGCTTGTCAACTGGGTTAAAACAGCCGTCTGGAAAAGGTAGTCGTCTGATAGTTACGCATATGGGAAGCGACAGTGGATTTTTACCAAATGGTGAATTAATATTTAAATCCAAGAAAACAGGCGACTATCATGAAGAGATGAATGTGGAGGTGTTTGAAAAATGGTTTGAAGGCATCATTCAACTTGTGGAACCTGGGTCTGTCGTCGTCATGGACAATGCCCCATATCATAGTCGGTATTTAGAATCATTACCGAAACAATCATGGAAAAAACGAGCAATTCAAGAATGGTTAATTAATAAAAACATCCAATATAAAAAAGATAGTTTAAAGGCAGAACTACTTCAGTTAACAAAATTACACAGAGACAAATATAAAAAATTCGCAGTGGATGAAATGGCGTTGAGTCGTGGAATTACAGTATTAAGGTTACCACCGTACCACTGCGAATTAAACCCAATAGAATTAATCTGGGCGCAAGTAAAAGGATATGTGGCACGAGAAAACAGAACATTTAAATTAGTGGACGTGCAACGTTACCTACAAGAAGCCATTCAAAATGTTTCTGCAGAAGACTGGAAGAAATGCATTCAGCATGTTTTAAAAGAAGAGCAAAAAATGTGGGACGTAGACAACCGTATTGAACACAATATTGAACCAATCATAATTAACTTTGATGATAGCGGTAGCAGCAGTGACGAATCTGAGGTTGAAGATTAGAAGAAAATTTGTACACAAAAAGAAGTCTATATATTTAGGTATAATTTTTATTTTTACCATTCACTATTACCATTTAGAAATTATTATATAAATTTGTATTTTTAATTCCTGTACACAGACATGAACAATGTCTCAGCAGGATACAAATGTTTATTTATTTAATTATTATTATTATTATTATTATTGTATCAATTTGTACATTGTTACATAAATTTGAAATAAACATTATTATTATTATGTTTGGCGGTCAAGAAAACATAATCCTGTAGGTTATATCCAAACTAATTATCTTACTTAGGGATTTCCGAAATGATAGGTGCGTGTAAACTTTTATGATTTAAGTACCAATCAAATAGTAATTTAAGCTTTATAATGTCTTTTAATGTTGGCCGAACCCAATTAAGGTTTCTTGGGTAAGGGGCTAGTTTCGAGGAACTGCAGGTAAACCGGGAGAGAGAGAGAGAGAGAGAGAGAGAGAGGTATGCTTTATTGTCATTGAAAAATTACAAAAATTTTATAGACAAAGCGAAGTAAATTAAAAACTAAATATAATATAAAAAGATTAAAAAATATAAAAATTTAAAAATATCTAAACAAAACAAAATAAAATTATCAATTGCATTGGATATGCAATATCCGTCATTATGATTTTAATTTAAAATTTAAGTAATACTTCTGTATGTGTAACCCAAGAAGAAACTTAAGAGACAGTTCCTTACTGACTTCGGCCGCGACATAATATATAAATATACGTTAATTTGTGAAATAAAGTTAAATTCATTATTAAAATAGTAAAATTGATAATATTGTTTCTGTCACCAAACCAACCCCTGATTAAGTATCTTTCTTATTTTTAATTTGAAATATATATTGTGATTTTTATTAATATTCTTAATTTGTTTGGTTCCTACTATAATTACCACAATTATTACTCCGTTTTCATAAAGCCCCACTAATGACTACAACGATTAGGTAAATTACGATATTTCAAAGTTTTCATGAAATAAATAAAAGAAATTGTATGAATATTTTAAATAATTGTACCCTCTCAAAAATAATAAGCACGCCTCCGATTTGGTCGTATTTCTACCTGCTTTCACTCTCAATCATTATTTGTTTTAGTTTAGATGCTTCATTTTAAAATTCTGTAAATCCCGCAAATCACGCCTACGAATATTACACGAAAACTAACTCGTTTTGGGAACACTAACATTCTGAATTCGATTTTTTTTGTAATTTTTCAAGAACTACGATATAAGGGGGGATTTAGGGGGTCCAGACTTTTCCTTTTAAAATCCAGTAGACTAACTTCATTTTGGGATCGTTAAAACTTTGCTAAAATTGCAAAAAATATCAACAGGTATTGATGAAATAAATGGTACAGTAATCTATTCAATATCTAAAGAAATTAGTGAACTATTGTCATATTTAATAAATGATTTCTTAATGAGTTAAGTTAATTATAGAAATCAAAGTTTATTCCTATATACTGTAAAAGGTCTTTACTGAAGTTACAATTTTTAAATCGTTTTTCCCGTATAAATTTAAAATGGCATATGCGATTTTGCTGAAATTTGGTATATTGGTAGAGTTTTATGTGGCAACAAAAATGGTATTAAAATTTTGTCCGATAATAATATACATAGGCGTAGAACTTGATTTTTTAAATAATTGCACCTTTAAAAATTCTACGCCAGTGGCAGAAAAAGGGTTTGAGTATGAAATTTGGATTGGGTACTCATTTACTACAAAAAAGTACCCTTGATAACACTCGATTTACTCTCATGGTTTTGACAAAGTTTGTATTTTAATAATTAGTGTTTATGTTCTAAAATTACTAAAATGCAAATTTCGTCAAAACCATGAGAGTAATCGAGTCTTATCAAGAGTACCTTTTTTAAAGTAAATGAGTTGCGCAATCTAAATTTCATACTCAAACTCCTTTTCTTCCATTGGCGTAGAATTTTTAAAGGTGCAATTATTTAAAAAATCAAGTTCTACGCCTATGTATTATTATCGGACAAAATTTTAATACCATTTTTTTTGCCACATAAAACTCTACCAATATACCAAATTTCAGCAAAATCGCATATGCCGTTTTAAATTTAAATGGGAAAAACGATTTAAAAATTGTAACTTCAAGGCCCTCTGGAGCCCAAACGAAGCAACTTTGTACTAAGGTAATTTTACTTAAATCGACTTATTTTGGTCTAAGGAATATGTGGTATGTTTTTATAAAGACCTTTTACAGATATGTATATTGAAATTTTTACCCACCATTAAGAATGTTAATTGATACCGGTAGTATTAAATCCATTTTAAAACCCATTATTGCAGAAAAGTTTTACCCAAGCACGATTTATCATTCAAATGTATCTCTTTCAACGTCTCTAGGTACTAAAAATATTAAATATCAAGCTGATATTCCAGCTTTATAAGAATATTTGCAAACAACGTCAAAATTTTAAACTTTAACTTTTCACACAGGTAATGTGAAAATGATATTTATGTTATAAAGCGACCCCTACGGGGTCGCTTTATAATTTTTAATAACCTTGTAGAGGTCACTTTACAATTTTAAGCGACCCCGTAGGGGTCGCTTTATAATTTTTAATAATCTTGTAGAGGTTACCTTATGAATTTAGGCGACCCCATAGGGGTCGCTCTATAATTTTTACCAACTTTGTAGAGGTTGAGAGGCTTCACTACATCCCCCCATTTTTCAAAAATCCTCCAAGAGTAAATTTGATATTTTTGAATAATAAAATTCACACAGTTTACAGGATATTGAATTATGAAAATATCAAGGTCTATTAAGTTGCCCCCCAAAAATTATTAAATAATAATTTTATTATCCTACTTATACCTACCGTATAATGAACTTTTTTTGTAATGCAATAATGTATGATCCTGTATGTAAACTAATAAGATTTTTTTAATAAACAACTCGCAAGTTAAAAGGTAATTATTTTCTATTTTTTGTCGACAATTTCAGCATTTTGTTGATTTTTTCCTTTTACATATTCAACCGCAATCACCCTGTAAGTACGAATTTTTTTTTCCCTTTGCAAATAGTACAAGGGGTATATTCTTAATCTAAAACAGTATGTCAAAATATTGAATATAAGAGTATTGAGTATTATTTCTATTGTGGTTAGTTTTGCTTTCCTAGTATCTTCTGTATTGTATCTTCTTTGCTACTTAACATCCTCTATAGCTTGCTGAATGTGCTTGATTGCAATTTGCACATTTTGGTGGTACACTTGCTGGTTTATCACACTCTTCTGTAAGATGGCTTTTGGTATGTTCAACAACACTGGTTGCTTATTACAAAAGTGTATATGCCCTTATCTTTGCCACCGTTTGCATTGGGGTATCAATTTTGGGCGTTTCACTAGCTTAATTTGGATTATTAGGTTTTGTAATGTCTTAATTTCATAAATCCTTTTAATGTCTTTACCGTTTTCAAATGAATAGCGGCAAAGGCCTTTTTATAACTTGATATTTCTTCTTTAGTTTCTCTTCTTTGAATATTAAGCACATTCAAAATTTTAAATCATTGTGCTTTAATTCTTCAGCTATATCTTCTGGCTTGCAATTAGGATGTAGATTTATAGCCATCAATTTTTTTTTGGTCTGGTTTTTAATTTCATATGAATGTCACTGATAGCTTTGGTTTGAGAAATTTGTTGTCATTGTTCTATATTCTAATTTTTGTACAATACATTTAGATGGTTTAATTTTGATTCTTTTTGTTCGTTGTATCGATCTTTGGTTATGTTTTGAGGTGACACTTCAGGTGATTCTGACATATTTCGTTTCTGCTTCTTTGTACTATCCAAGCTATTTCTTTCTTGACTATTTCTTCTTCTTAATCTGTTTCGATATGCTGTTGTTGTTTTTGCATACCTAACATCATTTAAATTTGTTGTATTCTTAATTGCATTGGCTGCAATTGTTTAATCAACTCTTGTATAGCTGATTCTTTCTTTGAAAGTATATCTCTATATTTTTTCTCATCATCATCATCATCGCAAACTGTTGTTTCCATATTAATTTGATTCTCCTGTATCATGACCTGATTTTTTTTGCTTTTGAAAAGATTTTCTTTACATATTTTAAAATCATTTTTATTGGCACACATTAACTTTAGTAATCAATCACACGAACAGACAGTATTATTACTATTATTATTATTAACTTCATGTATTTATCCATATAGATCGCTACATAACTTTACCAATATATTGTATATTCCCTTAGTACTTCCCCTAGTACATGTTGACTGACACTAGTGCTAGTATGGCAGCCCTAAATAATTCGTCAGCCAGTTACTCAAGTAGCGTTAGTGATTTTTATAATGGAAAGACATTATTCATAACGGGATGTACCGGATTCATGGGAAAAGTTCTTCTGGAGAAGCTGCTGAGGTCTTGCCCGGGCGTCGCGAAGATTTATTTGCTGATTAGGCCGAAGAAGGGACAAGAAGCACAAGAAAGGTTGCAACAATTGATATGTTCACCGGTAAGTCAAATTTTTGTTTAATATTAAAGAGAGATACAATAAAAATGTTTATATGGCTGATAAAGACAGAAATAAGAGCAGTAGTGACTCTTGAATTACAGATTTTGGTAAAAAACTTACTAAAACATTGAATTATGAGTCATTACTGTCAAAACTACGCGTGGCTTTGAATTAAAACCAATCTGACATTTTTATTAATTTTTTCCGAAACTTTTTTTTGTGAATCACTTCGTATACAAAGTTTCATCGAAATCGGTCAATCCGTTTGGACAGTACGATATTTAAAGTCGCCTGGAAACCCCTAATACGAAATTTGGCCGGAAAAAACTGGCGCCCGACGAAATTTCTGTGTGCGTGGTGAGGTAGAGAGAGGCAGAAGGTGTTTAATTGAGACAGGCATTTGGTAGGTAACAATTTATATAATTCAGTGCAGATATTTATAGGGATAATACTAGGGACTGATTCAAATCAAAAAGTTAACAAAGTTGTGTATATTTTAGTATAACTGAGAATTAATCGAGTTCAAAATTTTATTAATTTCAATAAACTGGTAAATTTGATATTGCCTTTATTTCATCACAATAATTTCTAAACCAATTGATGTATAAGTTTTAAAACTTGACAAAATATTAACGAAATGTGTAGAAATATAATTTTGGAGACCACAATTTGAAATTTCAACGAGTTTTCAAGTTACAAGGTATCAAAGTTAAACTTGGATTTTTTTAACAATGTACATTGTTGCCTTTATTTCATCACCATTTTCAAACTAATTGATCAATAGATTTCAAAATTTGATGAAATATTTACGAAATGTGTAGAAATATAATTACGAAATGTGTAGAAATATAATTTTAAAAACTACATGTTGAAATTTCAACAGATTCTAAAGTTACAAGCTAATTTTTGTAATTTTTAATATTAGAAAACCCTCGTATGTTATATAACATTTTTTTTTAAATCAACATGGGAAATTCTTAATATATTTAAAGAATTTCATTCATTACTCAATTAAATTTAATGGGTGCTGTTAATTTGTTAACAATATTCAAAGCGATATTGAAATTCTTCCAAAATTGTTTTAATAAGTTTTTCCGGTTGAATTAACCTTACTTAATTATTAATTCTATTCATATATACATTCGTATATTGTTGTTAACAACGTGCTCAAAGAGCACGTCGTAATATATTATACAGTGTGTCCCAATAAAATGCATTCATATACTGTTATTAACGACGTGCTCGAAGAGCACGTCGCAATCTGTATTTTTGCACACCATATAATAGATTGCGACGTGCTTTTCGAGCACGTCGTTAACCACAATATATAATGTAGTTTATTATTAACGACACAGTGTATAATAGATTGCGACGTGCTCTACGAGCACGTCGTTGACATCAAAGTGTGTTTAGATATTGTTGTTAACGACGTGCTCGAATCTAAAAATTTGTAATAAAGAAAATGTATGATAGATTGCGACGTGCTCTTCGAGCACGTCGTTAACAATAAAGAATATTCAGATGTTATTAACAACGTACTCAAAGAACACGTCGTTTACAATAATATCTCAATACACTTTGTTCTTAACGACGTGCTCGAAGAGCACGTCGCAATCTATCATACATTTTTTTATTACAAATTTTTAGATTGCGACGTGCTCTTCGAGCACGTCGTTAACAACAAACTATGTTCAGATGTTATTAACGACGTACTCGAAGAGCACGTCGTTTACAATAATATCTAAATACACTTTGTTCTTAACGACGTTCTCGAAGAGCACGTCGCAATCTATTATACAGTGTGTTCCAATAAAATGCATTCACATACTGTTGTTAACGACGTGCTCAAAGAGCACGTCGCAATCTATTATACAGGGTGTCCCAATAAAATGCATTCACATACTGTTGTTAACGACGTGCTCAAAGAGCACGTCGCAATCTATTATACAGGGTGTCCCAATAAAATGCATTTATATACTGTTGTTAACGACGCGCTCAAAGAGCACGTCGCAATCTATTATACAGTGTGTCCCAATAAAATGCATTCAAATACTGTTGTTAACGACGTGCTCAAAGAGCACGTCGCAATCTATTATACAGGGTGTCCCAATAAAATGTATTCACATACTGTTGTTAGCGACGTGCTCAAAGAGCACGTCGCAATCTATTATACAGGGTGTCCCAATAAAGTGCATTCGTATATTGTTGTTAACGACGTGCTCTTTGAGCACGTCGCAATTTATTATATAGCGTGTCCCAAAAAAAATACCAAACGAGAAAAGTTTTATATTTCTTTCAAGTGATGCAAAACTTTTTAACAAAAATTATTCCATAATTGTTGGGAATAAGGGGATAAGTAATTTTTGGGTTAAAACGAGTTAATTACATTTATTTTTGTTTTTTATTTTAAATTTCTCCAAAAATTATTTATTTCTAATGAAATTTGGTAAAATTATACTTTTGTATGTCTTAAATAAACATATTTTTTTTTTTTTTAATAAAAAATCCAAATATTTCGAGTTATTAACTTTTTTTGATTCAAAATACTTTTTTTAAATTCTACGGTGAAAAATTAACGTAAAAAGTTCTTTAGATACTCATTTTTTTCCTTCTGACATGAATTTTTTGATAAAAAGTTTTGCATCAGTTGAAAAAACAAAATTTTTATCATGTTTATAAAAAAACTTAGGACACACTGTATAATAAATTGCAACGTGCTCTAATTGCGACGTGCTCGTCGAAGAATATCTGAACAATATCAAGAAAAATATCTTTGAGAATATACTTTGTTAGTAACGACGTGCTCAAAAAGCACGTCGCAATATAAAAATTGTATTATATAATGCGACGTGCTCTTCGAGCACGTCGTTAACAATATATAGATTTAAGTTGTTGTTAACGACGTCGCAATCTAAAAGTTTGAAACACGTTGTATGACAGTTTGCGACGTGCTCTTCGAGCACGTCGTCAACAATATATGAACATACGTTTTTATTATAAGGGGCGGGGGAAATAGAAAAAAAAAAAAACGTGAATATTTTAGGTTTTTTCAGATATTTTTGAAACATTTAAAACAAATGCGTTTTGAAAATTTCTCTATCAAATGGCATCAGAATATTTTGTTTTATATGTATAAATTGCTACGTAAGAATATTTTATTTTTAGGTTATAAAGGACGACATTATTTTAATAGAAAGTAAAATAAGGGAACAAAACTTTTTCTCAGGTGTATAAAACTTTTTGGAACACATGCGTAATGATGCAATCTAAAAATTTGGAACATATTGTATGATAGATTGCGACGTGCTCTTCGAGCACGTCCTTAACAACATATGAATATACGTTGTGGTTAACGACGTGTTCGAAGATCATGTCACAATTAGAGCACGTTGCAATTTATTATGCAGTGTGTTTCTAAAAGTTTTATACACATAGGATAAAAATTTGATTTTTTTAAACGAAATCATTATGAAAAGTTCACCAATTTTTTAAAGTAATGGAGAACTTTTTAAGAAAAATAATCATTTTTTTTTAACCTTACTTTTTCTTATGTATATAAAACTTTTTGGAAGACATTTTGTAATAGATTGCGATGTCGTTTACAATTATATTTAAATACACTTTGTTCTTAACGACGTGCTCGAAGAGCACGTCGCAATCTATCATACAATTTTTTTTATTACAAATTTTTAGATTGCGACGTGCTCTTCGAGCACGTCGTTAACAACAAAGTATATGCAGATGTTTCAAAATTTTTTATAGACATGATAAAAATTTTGTTTTTTAAGTAATGCAGAATTTTTTATAAAAAATAATGATTTTTTTTTTTTTTTAAATCAAAATTTTTTCTCCTGTATAAACTTTTTGGAACGCACTGTGTAATGAATTGCGACGTTCTTTTCGAGCACGTCGTTAACAACAAAGTGAATTTAGATATTATTATAAACCACATGCTCGAAGAGCACGTCGCAATCTATTATACAGTGTGTCCCAATAAAATGCATTCAAATACTGTTGTTAACGACGTGCTCAAAGAGCACGTCGCAATCTATTATACAGGGTGTCCCAATAAAATGCATTCACATACTGTTGTTAACGACGTGCTCAAAGAGCACGTCGCAATCTATTATACAGGGTGTCCCAATAAAATGCATTTATATACTGTTGTTAACGACGCGCTTAAAGAGCACGTCGCAATCTATTATACAGGGTGTCCCAATAAAATACATTTACATACTGTTGTTAACGACGTGCTCAAAGAGCACGTCGCAATCTATTATACAGGGTGTCCCAATAAAATGCATTCACATACTGTTGTTAACGACGTGCTCAAAGAGCACGCCGCAATCTATTATACAGGATGTCCCAATAAAATGCATTTATATATTGTTGTTAACGACGCGCTTAAAGAGCACGTCGCAATCTATTATACAGGGTGTCCCAATAAAATACATTCACATACTGTTGTTAACGACGTGCTCAAAGAGCACGTCGCAATCTATTATACAGGGTGTCCCAATAAAATGCATTCATATACTGTTATTAACGACGTGCTCGAAGAGCACGTCGCAATCTGTATTTTTGCACACCATATAATAGATTGCGACGTGCTTTTCGAACACGTCGTTAACCATAATATATAATGCAGTTTATTATTAACGATACAGTGTATAATAGATTGTGACGTGCTCTACGAGCACGTCGTTGACATCAAAGTGTATTTAGATATTGTTGTTAACGACGTGCTCGAAGAGCACGTCGCAATCTAAAAATTTGTAAAAAAAAAAATGTATGATAGATTGCGACGTGCTCTTCGAGCACGTCGTTAACAATAAAGAATATTCAGATGTTATTAACAACGTACTCAAAGAACACGTCGTTTACAATAATATCTAAATACACTTTGTTCTTAACGACGTGCTCGAAGAGCACGTCGCAATCTATCATACAATTTTTTTTATTACAAATTTTTAGATTGCGACGTGCTCTTCGAGCACGTC